TTTTCAATCTTTTGTCCATTTCTTTTCAAATGCATCTCACTTTTAGTAAGATCCTCTATGCATACATTTAATTGCTAATAAAAATTGAAATAGCACATCATACATTTTAGTACAATTCAAATTTTTAAAAACCAGAAACTCTAGCTAAATGACCCTGCCCCTATTATGCTGTAACCCCAGTAGGGGTTTTTTTTTTTTTTTTTTGGTTGTTGTTTTTTAACATTCCTCTGTCACAAGTGGCTGCTTCAAATGCCTGTGTTGGGTTTCATCTTACTGACTTCAAGCTTCTGAACTACACACACAAGACCTATTAATGCTTCTTGGAGACAAATAAAAAAGTGGCACTCCAGCATATTGAAGTCATTCAAATGCAAGCTGTATTAGATTCCTAGTAAGTTACTGGAATCAAGTTAGAAAAGAGATGCAAGAAAAAAGACATCGCAGAACTAAAATCATAGGTTATCAAAATACTGCCCTACGGTCCAACAGAGCAGAGAGGTGCTTTCCCAAGCTGCTTCATAGTGACCCTTCAATTACTATCAAGAATGAACAGTATAGCAATAAGGCTTATGGCTAAATCGATTCCTTGTTATAATTATTCTCTATGCTGGTCTTCTCCTCAGGAAGCTCTCTAAGATACAGGCAATAATGACAGCTACACTGAAAGTTTTTAATTCTTTTTTTTAAATCTCCACTTCCTTCAACCATATTTCTTCTCAACACAGAGAAAATTGATTGCGGTATTGGTATCTAATTTTACCAGCCATTCCCTCAGTTCTTTCTAAACAGTCACCAGTATGCCTACTCCCCTCCTGTTATAAGGTCTGCCATCACCAATCCTCTGTAAATTGTTTTCTTGGTCCTGCTGCTGGAGTGAATATTCTGGCAGAGGGAAAGAGATTTTGATACTAGGGTTGAGAGTCAAGTTACCAAGATTCTTTATTAATGCTTCTGAGATAGGTTGAGAGGCAGCTGAATCTTTGTAGGAACCGTCTTCGGTGGACATTAGAAGACTGGTTGGGTTAAACTTTGATGAATCCTTTAAAAGTCTAGTCACCTAGACTAGGAGCAACTCTAAGACCTTTGTGTTCAGGCAGAAGGTGATGTTCAAATTACAGCAAAGGAGCCTGGAAAAAAATAGATAGCCAAGAAAGGAATAAGAGAAACCTGAACTCCAACAAAGCACAGTGAAAGAATACTTAACTCACTTTTAAATTGGATTTTCCTTTTATTGTTGCATTGTAAGAGTCCCTTAATGTACTTTGGATACAAGTTGAAGAAAATTGCAGATATTTTCTTCCTCCTTTGGGTTATCTTTTCACTTTCTTGATGATAGCAAAGCACAAATTTTTAAAGTTTAAAGTTTAAAATTTTAATAAAGTTCCAATTTCTCTCTCTCTCTCTCTCTCTCTCTCTCTCTCTCTCTTTCTCTCTCTCTCTCCCTCCCTCTCTTTTGGTGTCAACTCTAAGAATGCATTGCCAAACCCAAGGTCATGAAGATTTACTGCTTTCTTTCTAAGAGCTTTGTGTTTTTGCTCTTACATTTTAGGCCTTTGGTGCATTTGGAGTGAATTGTTGGTGTGTGCTGTGAAACAAAGGTCTAACTTCATTGTTTAACATGTGACAATTTAGTTGTTCCACCACCAGTTACTAAAAGACTATTTTTTTCCCTGTTGAATGATCTCAGCACCCTTGTTGAAAGCACTTGAACACACACATGGGTTTACTTCTGGGCTCACAATTCTATATTGTTGATCTCAGGACCACACTGTATTTATCACCATTGTTTTGTAGCAAATTTTGAAACTGGGAAATATGAATACTCTACTTTCTTCTTCATTTTGTATGATTGTTTTGACTATTCTTTGTTCCTTGAAAATCCATATGGGCTTAAAAATCAAATTGTTAATTTCTACCAAAAAAGCTGAGATTCTGACAAGATTTGCTTTGCCTCTGTAGATCAATTTAGACAGTATTGACATCTTAACAATATTAGGTCTCTGATACATTAAGATGGGATTTCCCTCATTTATTTAGATCTCCTTTAATTTATTTCAACAATGTTATGTAGTTTTCAAAGCATAAGCTTTACACTTCTTTTGTTAAATATATTCCTTAGTGTGTTATTCTTTTTAATGCTATTATAAGTGGAATTGTTTTCTTAATTTCATTTTCAGATTGTTAATGCAAGTGCATAGAAATGTAATTGATGTTTACAAATTGATCTTGTATCCTGAAATGTTGATGAACTCTATTTATTAGTTTCAGTAGTATTTTAGTGGTTCTTTAGGATTTTCTACATATAAGAGATAGTTTTATTTCTTCCATTCTAATCTATATGCCTTGTATTTTTCTTAATTGTCCTTGCAGAAACCTCCAGTACAGTGTTAAATAGGAGTGATGAGAATATTCATTCTTCTCTTGCTCTATTTTTAGGTGGAAAAGCATCCAGTCTTTCATCATTAACTATGATGTTAGCTGTAGATTTTTTTTTTGTAGACATCCTTTATCAGGTTGAGGAGTTCCATTCTATTTCTACTGTATTGAGTAATTATTTTTTAATCATTAAAGGGTGTTGTATTTTGTCAAATGATTTTGCTGCATCTGTAGATTATCATGTTTTTTATTTTATGAATGATATACATATTGATTTTCAGATATTAGACAAACCTTGCATTCCTGGGGTAAATCCTACTTGGTCATAGTGTATAAGTCATTTTATATGTTACTGGATTTGTTTGCTAGTATTTTGTTGAGGATTTTTGCATCCATATTCATAAGAGATAATGATCTATATTTTCTTTTCATGTAATGTCTTTTTTTTTACTTTTTTGGTTTTGGTATTAGGGTAGTAGTAGCCTCATAGAATGAGTTAAGAAGTATTTACTCCTCATATTATTCTTCTTGGCTGCCATAACAGAATACCACAGACTGGTCACTTAAGCAATTTATTTTATTTTCTCGCAATTCTGTATGCTAGAGGTCTGAGAATGACCTGCAATCAGAGTTTCTCTTCCTGGCTAGAGGACAGCCATTTTCATGCTGTGTCCTCACATGACCTCTTCTGCGTGTGCATGTGTGCCGGTGCACGCAGAGAGAGGGAGTGTTCTCTCATATTTCTTCCTCTTCTTTTCAGTCCTGTCTTCTTAATCGATTCTACCCTTAAGATCTCACTTAACTCTTGTGACCTCCTTATAGACCTTCTCTCTAAATATGGTCACACTAAGGGTTAGGGCCATTAACCTAAATGATTTTTTGGAGGGATGCAATATAGTCCATACTCTCCTCTTCTATATTTTGGAACAGTTTATGAAGCATTGGTTTTAATTCATCTTTATATGCTTGGTAGAATTTGTCTGTGAAGCCATTTAGCCTCTGCTTGTTAAAGGTATACTCAGATTATCTATTATTTCCTTTTGAGTTAGTTTCAGTAGTTTAGTAGTTTATTCACTTCTTCTGTTACCCCCTTTATTGACATTTTGTTGTTCATAGTATTCCTTATTAATCCATTTTATTTCTGTTAGAATAGTGATAATGTCACCTCTCATTCCTGATTCTAGTAGTTTGAGTCTTCTCTCTTTTCTTGACCAATCTAGCTTAAAGTTTCTTAATTTTATTGATCTTTTCAAAGAGTCAGCTTTTGGCTTCATTGATTTTTTTCTATTATTGTTCTACTCTCTAATTAATTATTCTGCTTGCTTTAGATTTTTTTTGCTCTTCTCCCCCAGTATTTTAATGTGGAAGATTAGATTATTAACTTGAAATCTTTCTTCTTTTTTAATGTAAGAATTTACACTTAGAAATTTCACTTTAAGCAATGCTCTAGCTGCATCCTACCCACAATGACATTAATTTTTAGGCATGCTCCACATGCAACCCCATACATGAAGAGACCTGCTCTCTTCTTAACATAATAAAGTATTAATCTTGCAATACCTATATTGTAAGAAGAATCCATATAATGCAGGGATGTTTGCATCTTGTAGCCCCAAATGTAGTTCCCCATTGCCAACCTTGGAGGAGTCATTGGTTTTGTTATTCTGGTGCATTTTTGAGGGCGTCAAGATCTGTTGTGGTCATGTCTAATATAAATACAGTTAATGATTGAGCTAGGCAGAAATGATCTTGTCTGGAATTGGAAGGAATGAAGAGAAGGAATTACTAGAACGCTTTCCTTCCTCATTCTGTTACCTGAACTTTGCTCCTAAAAACAAAACAAACCCTCCTGTACTACTTGGTCACAGGTGTAGCTCACAATCAGAGTTCAACATGCTGCAAAGTTGAGCTTTAAAAATATAGAAAATTTTGATTTATTTGGGGCAAGAAAGCTGATGATTAGGCGGACAGACTCTTCAGGTACTCTGCATGAGCTTTAAAGTGGCTCTTTATCTCTGATTTGCAGGGTTCAGGAGACTGTGGGGCCCTTCAGATCAGTATTTGTGTCCCCACTTTGTTACCTTGGACAGAGGTTAGTGCCTGCATGGTATTAGAACTAAAAGTGTGGGGAGAAAGGATGTAGCATCCACCTTTGTCACCACCCATGTCCAAGTTGAGTCTCATAACTCTGGGACATTATGGCTCCTGGACCAGGTGAAAGTCCAGGAGTCCTGGGCCCTGTGAAGGAGACAATTGTGATGGGCAGTGAGGGAGAGAATGGGAAGGCTCAGATGAGTTGTCAGAGATGGCTGGAGGGGCAAAGACATGGAAGGAAAAAGATCTGTTTGCATTTTATGTTCCGATCACCAGGATAACCACTTTCTCATCTGAGCAGAGAGGTACACATCTCCTATTCCTGCAGTAATAAGCCTTGTGGATGAGGCATATGTCTCAGTCTACTGAGTGGAGGGATTTTTGGGATTACGTCATGGCTCCATCACTCATCCTCATCCCCACAGAGAGTGGCACCGAGGCCTCTGGGGAGAGGGTGCCAAGACTGAGCACTGGGTGCCCTCTTGAACTGCTCTCTGATCTCTGCTTCTCTGCCCTGCCTTCTTGCTTAGCAAAGACAGTCACCACCGAGGAGTGCCTGGTGAACCCTGTGGGCATGAACCGCTACTGTGTGGACCCCTCCGCCTCCACCTTTAACCACAGGGGCTCCCTGCCCACCTCCTCCTCACTGTACTGCAAGAGGCAGATCTCTGGAGACGGTCACCTTGCGGGAGGCCCAGCCGCCACTGCCATTGGTCCCCGTAGCAGCACCATGTCCTCTGGAGGCACCTCAGCACCTGGTCTGAGGCCCCCGGGCTCCAGCCCCAAGAGAAACGGGACCTCGCTTGAAGGAAACAGATGTGGTAACGTAATGCATGCGCTCACTTTCCCCTGACTTGATGTCTTCTGTCCTCATCTGGGGTACCACTGCATGTAGCGGGGGACTGTAACTGATTGAATATGAGACACTGGGAAATTAGAAGTTTCCATAAGCCCCTTCATGGATTTTTATTATTCTCAAAGGCAGCTGACTTCAACCTTTGACCATAATAAAGAAAACAGTGTAGGGTGTAGGAATAAGTAGACTCCAAAGTGTACAGTAGAAGTTTATTTTTTCGTGTAAGAATCCAAGATGGGTGATTCTGGCTGGTAGGTGCATTCCAACAGGGACCCAGAGTCTCCATGGGATGGCTCTGCTCTCTCCTACAACCTCATGCCCTGTGCCTCTAACTGGCTGACAGGGAAGGACCCAGTGGAGGCAAGGTCTGGACTGCTGTCACTGTAGGGATAGCTTGGTGTCTATTCTGAAATATTTTTGAAATCATTTTGAATCTTCAGTATTTCATTAGTGAGCAGAGGCTCTAGAGGGCAGTAGGCAATCACAAGGACTGTGGAGCCAGATAACTGGGCTAGAATCCTAGATCTGTCACTTCCTGAGTATGAGAACTTTTTCAAGTCTGAACTTGTCTGTGCCTCAGTTTCCTCACCTGTGAATTTGAAGTCATAATAATAGCACCTACCTCCTAAGTGTGTGGGGAGGGTTAAGTAAGCTTCCATATCTAATACAAAGCCTAGGGCAGAGTAAAGAGCTCCAAATATGTCAGTAGTCACAGATCATGTGGATATACCCCTCAATTGATCATAACCCATCAACTGCGAGAACTGGTGAAGAAGGGCAGCCCAGACTAAGGGGCAAGGGACTCTTCTTTTTGCCCCTCTGGAGTGTCCTAACAGGCTGGCTCCTTTGGCAAACTACATTTCTGTTCTGAGACTTGGACCTTCCCAGTGGCCCTGACAAGCCGCCCTTTTGAGCTGTTTTTGTATGATCCAAGATCCCCCCAATGCTCTCCTCAAAGAGCCTCACTCCCCAGACAAGCCTCTCCCCACTGAGGAGGGGACAGCAGCTCTGAGGGACAGGGAACAGAGTCCCACAGCCATAATGCTCCTGCCAAGTGTAGAGGAAGCCAGAAACTCCCTCCCCCTCAACACTGTCACACAGGGCCATCCACCAAAAAAAATATTTGAATGGACAGACAACTTTGACTCAGCCAATTTGAGTCTCAGGGGAGAGACACTGCTATCTGATCTCTAGGAACAAGATCTGGTACAAACCAACACCCTAAAGTAGAGGAGGGGTCAGCGTCTCCTTCATAGGGTTATCCCCAGAGTCAGCATAATATCTGGCATATGGTACGTGTTCAATAACCATTCACTGTCTCTGTGCCCCCCAATGCCCAGTGCCCTCATGTCGTCCCACTGTTGAAACCCTCCTCCTGGTGTTCCTCTGTCCTTTTAAATGTCTTTCTTTGAACTTCTTCTCCTTAACCCAATACCCACTTTCTCAGGATGGTGATCACAGAATACCGTGCTGATTGAATTGACTCTGATCCTAAGAATGTTGCCACTTTTTGTAAAGGAGACCTGTGTTCTCTTCCATTCAAGGTGGTGAAATCTCAGGCCCTTTGTCTTAAGTAAAGGCAGTAAGAGAGAGGCAGGATTTGGATGGAGAACTTTTCTTTTTATCATCTTCTAGAGAATGATCTGCTTCATCCCCCTGTATCTGGTGTCTGGGAGCAGGGAATGCAGGAAGGGGATGGGGATGAGACCAGATGGGATTCCACCAAGGTCCTGAGGTGTCCTTGCATCCCAGCTTCATCAACCCGTTCTTTTTATTAACCAGGGCTGCTACACATTTGTAGAATGGAGCTCCATGTATGTTTTGCTTGAACAAAGTGAGCATAACTAAACACACTTGGAAAACATGGAGCTAAACCAAACTGAATTGAGTGGCAGTATATTAAAGGAGGAAAGACAAGCACTGGCCTCCTTACCATTTCTTGCCTGGCTGCTGGCCTGGGTGCCTGCTCTGCACCCTCGGAAGGATGGTTCAGTCTTTCCTCCACCCAAAGAACTGCTCAGTGTTCCTTTGAAATTGCATCCCACGTGGAAGCAGCTGGCATTAGGAAAACCCTATCTCTTTAAGAAGGTTTGACCCAAGTCGTGAACCCTGGAAGAGACCTAGAAATGCATCTCCCCCCACTGTGCTAATCAAAATGGCTTAAAGGGACCTCCCTGGTGGCCTAGGGGTTAAGGCTCAGCACTCTCAGTGCTCTGGCCAGGGAGCTGACCCACATGGCGCAGCAGATCTCTCCCGTCTTGTCCATTTCTCCCCTCAGCAGTGTATTGCAGTAGAGCTTCCTGTTCTGCTCCCCACTCTGTTTCTGGTGAATCCTCTCACCTGCTGCACCTCTGGCCTGTGCCCCGGTTCTATGCAAAAAATAAAAAATAAAAAACAAACAAAAAGGCTTAAAGCCACAGAAGCCAGAAAACTGCCTGAGGCGATGGGCAGGAGGGTAGGTGTAGATGGCATGACAGATGTCCCTGCCTTCTCCTCGTGTGAACAGGGACCTGGCCTCCTGTTGTCACGAGAGTGGATCTGTTGCCAGTAGGGACCGGGGCCTAGTAGGCACGGGGGGCATGGATGCACAGGACACACTTGCCGGGTGTTTGCTACTCAGGTGGAAACTCAAGTGTTTCTGCCTGTCTCTCCTCCAAGATGCAGTCACCAAGTGCTACAAAGAGATTTCAGATAACAAAGCTTTCCGATGTTTGCATTCAACAGGGCACGCTGCAAAATTCCCAACCACAGCTATGTCCAAACTTCACAATCAAGGAAAAAAGTAAATCTGACATTGTTATTACCATCCCAATGCTTCCTGTGGGTTGACATTTGCTTCCAGAGGGTATGGAGTTGAGAAAATATAAGAAAAGCATGATAGAAGGATTGGTTAGCACTTTTAGGTCCTCTCTCTCTTATCTCAGTGTCTTGAACATTCTTGTAATGGAAAGAATGCAAACAATTCTCTATCAAATTACCAGATTGTGGCCTAGCCTGGACACCCCACACCTCCACATAGAAGTTTCTAGGAAGGATGCTTTCTGTGGGGACCAAGTCACTGAGAGGAGCTAAGAACAATCTCCCATCCCCTTCCCTTTAGCCTCCTCCTTCCTAACCTGGCCTCCACTGCTAGAGGGGCTGCGAGCATCAGGGGGGCTTACCAGCAGCCTAGGAAGGACACACAGGGGTCTTTTGGAGACCAATGGGCTTCTCTTCAGGATGCTTCTTGTCAGAATCCAAGCCACACATTCAGTGGTTCTGAATACTCTTGAGAAATAAGATGAAGAAATAAAGACCTGTAGAGAGTGATCGGGACAGGAAGGTGCTGGAAGGCTGACCTTTGGCTCTTCACTCAGAGTGCTTTACACAGGACACACTGTGAGGCTTCCAGATGTGTGAGAAGGTAACTCCCTTTGTGTGGCAGAAGACACTGTGGCGTGAAGGGTCCCTGCAGCGGCCCGCGTGGAAGGCACTCCAGCGAGCCTTCCCCAATCCCTTCACGCACAGAAAACGTACAGATGTTCATATAGCTGGTGGGTGCAGGGTTTTCTGATTCCCGGTTCATTGCTCATTCCATTCTTCTACATGACTCTATTGTTAGCTAAAAAACCTCCCTGAATTATGAATGAGCAAAAGGAAACCACGTGTGTGCTGTGTGCTGTGGGTATGTATAAGACAGTGTGAGGCTCAACCAGCGGTACAATTACCTGAGCTGTGAAAGAAAATGTGAAAGATTTGCTTTAAACACTGCTTCATAGTAACTCTGTTGCTGGGGAATATGAATTCAGCTTCAGAAACCACTGTAGCCTTTAATTATACACATTTTTCACAAGGGGTTTCCCTTTGCAAATGTCTCCAGCAGCTCTAGCTAACAGGCTCCCCCATGCACCCAGGTCTCCAGGCAGGAGAATGGTGTCTTCCCTTAAGGGTGTGTGAGCCCCACTTTGCATGCTCTTTTCCTGTGGGAGCAAGATTTTTGCACATCCATTATGTCGGGCGGGAGTCCTATCACTCCAGCCAGGCCCCACAGTGTCAGCCCAGACCCATCTGTCTTCTTCCTGACACCTTCACAGCCGCTGGAGGAGGGCTAGTGGATTTATTGTCTTTGTGAGCTCAGACCCTGCAAAGGCTTTATAAACCTGCCACCGGACAGTTCCTTTTCTCTTCCTCTAGAGCGAGTTTATGTGATTTGGATCATGAGCAGCTCCCGAGGTGTAACAGACTCGCTGCTGCTCTGTCTTGTATAACTAAAAGGCCCCTCAGAGAAGCTTCTGGGCCAGGGCTGCTGCTCCCTCCTTCCCGGAAATATGAAAAATGCCTCAGCCAGCCCCAAGTGCCAGGAGCCATCCCAATTTGCCCACTGGACCCAGTTCCCTTTGCTGGTTCGCTTTGCTGAGCCCCTTTGCTGGCGGTGGCTCTTGCAAGAGAGTAGTTCCCTGATTTTGCTCGAAAGACCTCAGGCTCCTGGGGATGAGGCTGTGAATCAATCTGGTGTTTTTCCTTCCTGTCAAATACAGGAAATTAGATTTGACCTCTGCTCTGATCACTCTAAAATCATTCTTGGCACCAAAGATTTCCAGCCTTTGTAATCAGAGCATCTATTATCACCGTGATTAACGCCCGCGCTCTGATGGGGCGGGACCCGAAGGCGAGCGTGATTTCCGCGATTCTTCGTCCCCATGTTGAGTGCAGATGTCTCTAAATGCAGTGGAATCATCTCTAATAAGCAGGCACCAGCAATCAGATGGCTCCGGGGTGCATTAACAGTTTCCCGGCAAAATGCTCCGTGCCAAACCACCTTAGGAGACCCTGCCAGGTCCGGCTAGGAAAGAAAGAGCAGGGAGAATCTCCAAGTAAGCCCAGTTCCCACCAAACCATTATGTATTTAGGGGAAGCTCGGAAATAGGTGCTGGTCTTTTCTCAGTGCTAATGGAGAACTGTGCACTTCTGAGATATATTAAAAAGGAGGGACCAAGAAAGCAGAAAACCACTGCACCCTGAGATTAAAGAAGGGAAACAGAAAGAAAGGCTTCTCAACTTCAAACTTAGAATTATTCTAAGGGAAGCTGCTTCCTTGTTCAGAACCTGAACTTTTTCTGTTGAACATAGGATTAAGGATCACCCACACAGGACTTTAAGTTACCAGTACTGCGGCTGCAAAGTGTATTGATTCATTTTACACTTATGGAGCCCATATTTAGAAATACACCTGCTTAGAGGCTTGAGGGAGTCAATTATAATAAATCCTGTAATGAGAGGATCCCGTACTTTCTCCCCACTTTGAAGATGCTCACTAAGCATTTCTGGAGTGAAGGGGGTGGGGGGCAGGTGGGGTAAAATGAGAAAGATGGTCCTTAGAAGTTAAAATCTAACCAGAGGTTACAGACAAGAATGCACGTAATTGTAATATGAGGCAGAATGTGGAAAACATCTTAAAAGAAGACAACAAAGATTTGGGAGTTAAAGGTGGAGGAAGGTGACATCCACATGGCAGGACACAGCTCTCCCTGGGCCTTGATGGCTGGTGGAAAGAAGGGAGGGTGGGTGCTTTCTAGAGAGCAGGAGAAGTACCAGCCAACAGCAGAGAAGGAAGTTAGAGAAACACCTAATCACAACCAGTGTGCTCAGAAGGGTGTGCAGGAAGGAAGGAGAGGCAGGCAGGGTGCCTTCTTCTTTCTATGGAGCACCTGATAAAGGTTGGCCATAGCAGCAGGTCTCACCCCATCTCCGTCCTCATACCCATCGTTCCAGGTGGGGAGCACTACCATATTTGCATTTGATGAGCCAAGTCAAGTTCAAGTTGCTAGCAATAGGCAGCTGCAGGATTTGTCCCCATGCACCTCAAAGCTTTTTCCCCTTTCCATCTCGGAGGGAAAGATATCAAGACCAAAGAGAATCCTCGACCTTGGCCTAGAATATGGACTGAATGTGTGGGCAAGAGGCATCCACAGGGAGATTGCATGTGAGGGGGCACGGACAGAGCTGGGTCTTGGGGACAGCATGGGGCAGCAGCCAGCAGAAGCCCTAGAAGGAGACCCATTAGGAAACCACTGCGGGTTTGGGTACTAGGGTTGCAAAAGCAGAGACCAATGTGAGAAAGAGCTTCAGAGTAATTAAATGTGGGGCACAAAGAAGGAGCAGAAGAAGACAGAGATATCACTGATGTCTCAGAAACAGAAGACATAGGAAGGGAAGCTGGTTTCGAGGGGAAAGGATGAGCTGATTTGGGATATACAGAAAAAAAGTCAACCTTTAAATGTGACTAGGCTTCTGATTCACTACTTATTTTCTTCTTCACTTGTCCTGCACCTTTTTAATCTGCCATGTGAGAAATTCATCTATGCAACATTGCCACTCATGCAACAGTCATTTATCAAAGATCAGTTATGGGCCAGGCACAGGACTAGGCCCTTTGCTATCAAGAAATTCCCAGTCTTAAAACTTGTAAGCTGACCACAGATCTGAGGCACACTGCAGGGGAGGGGGAGGGATAGAGATCAAAACAGGGAAGGGACGAGCACAAGGGACAGAGAAAATAGATCACAGGTACTATGGTGGTAGGAGAACTATGGGACTTCACCTGAAGGGAGAATCAAATACAGTCTGAAAATTAACAAAGATGTAATAAAATAAAATAAATAATTAAAAAAAGAAATTCCCAGTCTGGTGGGGGAAACTGAAGTAAATGCCCTGACTGAGGGCCCTGGATGTGTTTGGTGTGAACCTGGAGCAGTGAGGGAGACAACATCTCTCCACATCTTCAGAGCAGGGACTGGGCCCCTCACAGACACGGGTCCCAAGGAGTGGGTGAGAGAGATGACCCAACACACCTCAATTCTGCTGCTTCTTTGTTGTCTCCTTGTGACTAACACCAGAAGAAGCAGGAGGGACCTTAAGTGATGTCGGCCTCACAGTTCCACGGAGGCCCACCTGGACATTCGTCCTGACACAACTTCTCTGTTCACCTCATGCCCAGTCACAGCCGCTCTGAGACAGAACTGAACAGGAGAGGTCTCTCAGACGTTCGTGTGGGTCAGGACTTCAGCCTGTTGAAGGATACCCATTCATTTCATGCTTCTTCCCTGGGAGACCTGGGTACCTTTGCACAGATAGGGAATGGTCTGCTTCAGGGTCTCCCTACCTTCCCATCTCCCCCCCATCCTGCCATAGGCTCCCGATAAGATTAGACACTCGCAGCCTTTGTCACAGGCCATCACGCTGGTCTCGGGAACACTGAGGATCCCTCTTCCAGGCCAGGAGGGTGGCAGCAGGTAGCGGTGGCAGGCAGGCGCTGAGGCCCTGGTTCCATGTCTCATGGTCTCTTCTCTATGCTCATCCATCCAGCCTCAAGCCCTTCTCCAGATGGGCAGGACGCCAGGCGGTTGAGAAGCAGGAACCCCTCCACCTGGACCGTGGAGGATGTGGTCTGGTTCGTGAAAGATGCCGACCCGCAGGCCCTGGGGCCGCATGTGGAGCTCTTCAGAAAGCATGTATGCGAGCGGTGGGCCTGGCCCAGGAGGGGATAGCCGGGTGGGGGGTATGGAAAGACAGTGAGGTTCAGGGAGCTGTACTGGGGCTGGGGTGGGGGAAGTGGGGTGTGAACGAAATGCTGGGGAGGCTAGATGGAACCACAGGCTTCTCCGAGCAGAATAACCACCTAGTTTTGTTTTAAAGGGGTATTCGTCCTATCTGTTCCCTCCTTTTGGTCTTTGTCAGGCATGCCCGTTCTCTTGCCCATCCATCCGTCTGTCCATGCATTCAGCAAGCATGTATAGCACACCTACGATATGCCAGGCAAACCGCGGCCGTGCCTAAGCCTCAGCTACTTGGAGGATAACATGAGAAAATGCACACACAGTGTTCAGCCAATGCCTCCATCATAGATAGCCTTCAGGTAGCAGGTATTATTGTAATTATTTAGAAGATTCTGAAATACATAAAAATGCTAAATTGAAAAACAAAGATGAATGCTTTACCTGCCAAGGTTCCCATGGGCGCTATCACCAGCTATCGCTAGCATAAATGAACACGCATTTACGATAATACAGGTGAGTGGGTCAGAAATCTGACAGGGTCTCACTGCACTAAGGTCAAGGTGTCGGCAGGACTTTCTTTCTGAAGGTTCCAGGGAGAATTCTTTTCCTCGCCTTTTCCAATGTTTGATCTACCCTCATTTCTTGCCTTGTGTCCCCATCCGCATCCTCAAAGGCAGTCCATCAAGCTGAGTCTTTCTCAGACTGCCAGTGCAATACTCTCCCTATTTTTTTTATTGATTGATTGATTGATTTATATTGATTTATACATACATACATACAAGCACTGGGTACAGTCAGAAACGCGGGAGGGTGACAGAATTCACCAGAGCCAGAGCGGGGAGCGGAGCAGGCAGAAGGCCCGAAGTACACTGCTGAGGGGAGCAGCGGGCGGCAGGAGAGGTCTGCGCGCCATGTGGGACCCTCCTCCGGTGGCCGGGGAGCAGCCGGGAATTGAACCGGCGCTGCAGAGGCTGCGGGCAGCTTCACAACCCAGTGCTCAACCGCTGCACCACCGGGGAGGCCCTTCTCTCCCTATTTTAAGGTCAGCTGATTAGCAAACTTAATTCTACGTGCAACATTATTCCCCTCTGCCAGGTAGCCTAACATGTGCATAAGTTTCAGGGATTGGGACACAGACTCCTTGGAGGGGAGAAGAGGGAGCACTACTCTGCCTGTCTCAGTTACCAGTATTTTCTTCTTTCCCATCTTTTTATTTGGTGATGCTATCATAGAAACCATATCCTCAGACTAGGGAGCATCCTCATCTAACCCAACACTCATGTTTTATTAGGGATATATTTGACCTCTGTTAACATCAGGGACTTGAAAGCAAGGGCCGTAGAGTGGGTTACGTCTAGACACATTTGGGTGGGATGAGGCCAGCTCTCTTCTTAGAGTAGTCGGAGATGGTGGAGGGCTAGGAGGTGGGTAAAGAGGGAAGGCTAAGTAATGAGGGGCGCTTTGTCCACTCTTGTCATTTTGCTGAGGACATGGAGAGTGAATGAAGTGGGTTTCATCAATACTGGCTGGCTGGCTGGGTGAATGAACAAGAGGGCCTGTGGCCCTTGCACAATTATATGAGTCTTGTATCTGCTCCTCTTTCCCCGACCTGAGCACCCCAAATTTCTACCGTCTATCTCTAGTGATCTTAATATAGTAAAGAAGGAAACCCAGTCTAAAGGGTTACCATTTTCAGAGACAGCTGAGAGTGACACCAGGGCCTCAGAGGATTGGCATTCCCTTAGGAGGTCTTTGCTATAAACCCCGGGATGAAGCAGGTGCATTATTTAGTTGTATGTCACCTCGATTGACAAAACCAAAAAAACACCTGAAATACTTCAAAGGGTATAATTAGCAACTTGGTGATCACTAAAGGTGCAAAGGAAAAAAATAAGGTTAGGGTGATGGATGGACGTTAGGGTCTCATAGCAACACCTGGAACAGAAAGGTAACTACTGGTTCAGCATTTAATGGAAGATACTTTGCCTTAGTCAGTTCAGGTTATAATAACGACGTGCCATAGACAGTCTGACTTGCAAACAACAGCAGTTCATTTCTCAGTGTGGAGATCAGGGTGCCGCCATGGCCTGCTTTGGGTGAGGTTCCTCTGCTGGGCTGCAGCTTGCCCACTTCTCTTTGCATCCTCACATGGCAGGAAGAGTTCTACACAGCTCTCTGGGGTTCCTCTAGTAAGGACACTATTCCACTCACAAGGGCCCCACTTTCATGACCTAATTACCTCCACAGTCCCCATCTCCCGATACCATCACACTGGGGGATTAGGACTTCATCATATGAATTTTGTGGGGACACAAATATTCAGTGAATCACACACTTCTTACACTTTTAGCCCCAATTAGGATGAAAAGATAGGCATCATTTGTGAAGTTTTGGGCACATGGGTAGAGTCATGTTTGATTTCTTCAGTGAGGGAAGAACAGGAATATGAAAGACACAGGGCATCAAATGAACTTAGAGAGATGATGGGAAAGAAGCGCAAAGTATCTGCTCTGGGTCCAAGGGTATAGGTATCTAAGCTAGTCCACATCCCCTGGCCTCACCCGCTGACCACACTGAAGCCATAGGTGCCGTATGATTACACTGACCATCTTCCGGGCTTTCTTCTTTCTGACCCGCCCCACCAGGAGATTGACGGCAATGCTCTCTTGTTGTTGAAGAGTGACATGATCATGAAGTACTTGGGCCTGAAGCTCGGACCTGCGCTGAAGCTCTGCTACCACATTGATAAGCTGAAGCAAGCCAAGTTCTGAAGACTTTGCAAAGACAGAAGCAAACCCAGACAACCAATCTCAAGATCATCTTCTGCCTTATCAACATCCAGTTCCCATCACAAAATAGATTCTCTTAAAAATGACAGCCATGCAGACTTCTTACAAGACACGTACGTCTTCACCTTTTTAAAAATTCAACATGGCCCTTTGGAAAGTTTCCTCAGTGTTAATGACTTGCCAAAAAATTGCCCAAAGTCTGTTCTTTTTTAACATTCCTGATAGTCTGGCTGCTCTCAGAGTGGGCCCTGTTCCTGTAATAAGTGGGGAACTGAATGTTGTCACCCCAGGAGAGCCCGGAAGGCTTGAGGCTATAAGAAGGACCTGTCTCCAGGCTCTGCAGGCATTCCTGCCGCAGCACCACCTGCCTTTAACTTTGCCCAGGCACCATTGTGAGTCTCAACTGGTTCAGCTCTAGAAGCTGTCTTTGAGGATAAATGCCTCATCTTGCACTATCTGGAAGACTTGAATTCTTTAGCTCTCTGAGAGACGAGGCGAAAAAACCCTTTTTATTCCTAGTTATCCGAAGTGCTGTGTCACTCCACTAGAGGGCGGATTGCTATTGAAATTTCAGGACCCTCCGTGCAGTAGGCTGCGTGAGGATTTGGTCCTCAGCGGCTGGGTCAGGGCGTTTGTGAAAAACACCTGCACAGACTGAGGGAAGTTATTCCACAGTCAGCACCACAGATTGCAACTTGTGAAGAAATCATCTTCTAGAAGGTACTAGTTTATGTCGACTGAGTGAGATGCACAGGCAGCAAAGGCAAGAATTTGGAACCAGGATGTTCCCAGATGGGGCTTTGGAATCCCTTCACTCCCAGAGTCCCTGCTGAGGTGTCAATGTGCTGGCACGCTGAAGAGTCTCAGTGACATTTAGCCATGGGTGTTTCTTTTGAAAAGAAGAAAAATGTTTCAACTAAGCTTTGAAATGGGAGAGGGTTGATTTCTAGTTACATTGCTGGGTTATGTAGTTGTATCAGTGGCTAATTTTTCTAGTCCTCAGCAAATATACAGACATGCTATTATTGAACTTAATTCAATTTACAAAAAGGTTTTCCTTCCTCACCTCAGTGTAATAGAAAAAAATTGATTTTCCACCCCTTTGCAGCTGTGTCCAGGGAAGGACGACAAATACACAATTTAGTAGGCAGAAGGGCAACCTCTGGCTGTTCTTTTTATCCTCTCCCTTTCTCTTTTTTTCTTCCTGCCTCCACTAAACAGAAAATTTGTCTTCAAAACAAATTCACCTTTGCCACAGGTATCTCTTCTTCCTTAACATCGTGTTGGAGGCAAGGAGATGAGTAGTAGACTTTGTGATCTTCAGGGAGGTGAGGATCACGGAAAACTCAGGGCCTCCTTTGGCCCAAACGTGAGTTAGAAAAGGCACACCTTTCTCCAAGATGCCTGAACAGGGGTCTCCACTGATGAGTGGAGCAGCAAGGAACTTCAACCCCACGGTGCCCTTGTGAAGGACATAGTTTGTACAGTACTCAGTGTGAATATCAGGGTAGGTGTGCATGTTGATCCTCTGTAAATCAGTCAGAACTTAGATGAAGGCCATGAGAAATATTCTAGACTCATCGTGATGAGTGACCTTTGAGAAAATCTAACACAGAACACAAATGATGTGCTGGACTTAGATCATGGTGGAAGGAAGGGAGAAGGCCTTCCACCTGCCCACCGAACTGTGTTTGAGTTATCAGGTTGAACGAGAATTAACCTTCTGCCGGTTGGTTTTGGCTCATGACAAAGCTACCCTGAATGAGTACTTGGTGGAGTCTTCAAGATTGTGAAGTGATAAATGACTCTGTCCTTCAGTGTTTCTTAGCCCTAAATGCTCACTGCTGGTCTGAGTCCGACCATGTGCCTCACAAAACCATGGGCAGCTCATGCAGTCAGCATGGCCCCTGTGAAAACAGGGGGCCCAGAGAGTCTCATGATACCATGATTCTCACTCCACGATTTTTGCTCAAGCCTCTGAAACTTGTGGTGTCTCTTCCATCAACATATACCTCACTTAAAGACTTCCAAAATGTCTCCTCCCTCATTACAAACACATAAACATTGATAGCCCCAAATTAAAATCACCCCCAAGCCTTGTCAAAGAGATACTTTGAATATTTTTCAGGAGAAAAGTATCTTCTCATCTCCCGTCTAGGAGAAAAGTGGATCCACGTTCACTGCAATGGCGCTCACGGAGGTGCTGTCTTATGTCGCATTAAACTTTAATCAGGACAGATGGCTGAAGCCATGATATTTAAGGTTTGACTTTTTAAAAATCTCATTACTCTTAAAATGAATGCTGCCATATCAGAGAATAACCCCAGGAGGAAATTCTTCCTTGTCTGTTTTTCCACTGAGATGCAATTAGTTGACCAAATTATTGTAGCAATACCACAGTTATAATTAATTTTCACCCCTTTCAAAAATCGTGTCAAACCACGCAGCTAAATAGCTTAGCAAATGTAAAACATGCCAGACCGTTTCCTCTAAACAGACCTGAAACAGCCAGGCCGTGGGTGTCATCCTCGTCCAAATGCGAGCTTATTCAGGGGGGGCGGGGGGCCTCACACTTGCACAAATATGGCACTCGTTATTCCATGGCAGTAGCTTACTTCAGGTTGTAGCAAATAATGACATCGTTTTGCATAAAACCAAATTAAAGTGGTGTATGTGTGTATGTTCGCATTCCAGACATTTCCAATTACGCTTGTCTGTTAAACACCTTTAAAAAAAATCAAGAGACAATTCTGTTGCTCAAGGCATTTAAAATATTTTATGAAGCACATTATTCCCATTGTGAATTCTGCAGGTAAAAGATGTGTGTGTGTTGTGGGGGGGGGGTCCCTGATACTTTAGACGTAAGAGTGTTAGGAGTAGCTGGAGGTGGATCAGCTATTAGGTTTGCTGGGTTTTAAATGCCGGCAGAGCCCATGTGGGCGCTTCCTGCTAGGCATCCCCTCTTATGGACAGCAGGGGCGCCCTGGAGACAGCCGGGGGGTGGTTCTGGGCCCGCCCGCTCCAGCGCCACTGGATGTGTCCTGCAAGGGATGCCCATGAAGGAGGCCAGAGGCACAGCCAGGTTGCCCACGGGCAGGGAGCAGCCATCTCGAGGGCCTCTTTCAGGGTATGTACCGGGTGCCCATCGTGTCCATTTGCCAGGGCAGCCCCGTTACTTTCCTTTCGGGGGGCAAAAGGAGTGGAGAGGGCCTCAGGAGAACCAAATGTGAGACCGGAATACATTGAAAGGAATACGAACCAAGGCTGGTTTGCTTGAAAAGGAAACGGGTGAGGGAGGCAAGACACCAACATAAATTTTTTAGGAAAACAAAGAGCAGCTTTTCTAATAGCCTCATCTCTAAAAGGTACAACCACCTATTTTTTTATATTTATAGGCTATGTGGAATATTTCTTGCTTTTTAAATTTAAAGTACTTAAAATTATCTTTTAAGATTGTTTTAGGAGGATTTTGTCATATTTCTGAAGAGAACTGAAAATGACCATAGGTGACCCGGGTCTTGAAAAATGGAAATCTGCTCTCTTTCTAAAAATACAGCAGGTTCCCAGATGTGTGAGCAGGAGGTGGGTGCCATGTGACGTGCCGACAGGGCACCTTTGTAGACCTTCTCCAATGGGGTTAGAGGATGAGGACATTTGATTCATATTTTTTAAAAAATCTTAGATAACAAGACATGGGATTGTAAGGTAGTAGGTTTTTTTTTTTTTTTAATGCGATTAAGGAATGGTTTATTTTTATCACAAACACACTCCAAGGCCGGAAGAGTTGCCCAGCTCTGCTGCTGCCTTGCCATTTCCTGTATTTCCTTATGGCAAGAGAAGACCACGCTGAGAACCTCAGAAGTGGATCCAGCAGATGGTCAGACATCTATAAGCACAAATATTCCTGTTTCCACCTTGCAGTGTCACCCACTGCTCTCACACACAACCCCAGAGCTTCCAGCCCAGTTGGGGAGGAGCAGCGGGCACCTCAGCATGCAGGGTGTCATTCCCTCCAGCGGTCATCCTAATCGAAGATGATCCCTCACAGACAATTGGAAGCTGGAGTTTTGGAAATCTAGCATTTACTTGAAAGAGAATCGCTCTTATTTATTGCCACCAGTTAAATATTATGGAAACATGTCTGCTAACAATTTGCTTGGTGTAATTTGTTCTAATGCTAATAAGCAACAGCTGGGACACTTCCTGTGGTAAATTCCTTTGTGGTTACAATGGTATTATCACACATGGACTTCACCAAAATGCTGTGCTGGAGAAGAATGCTCCCTCTGGCTCTCCCAGGCTTCAGGAAATTCCCCTCACTTAGAAGCAGCTCTGGGCAAAAGCACATGTTTAGAAGAGGATTTGCTTCTCTTCACTCTCTGCTTTCCCAAGCAGGGCCCCAGACCTGTGCTCTTAAAAATCCTACATGAAGAACCTGGGAGTTCTCCTCATGCTTGCGTTGAGTTTGATTTCCTCCAGAGGAAAAGACAACAATAGAGCATGCGAACGACCCTCCTCCAGGTCCCTGTGCTGTACCCGGAGACCGTACTGAGAGCCAGGGCCACAGAAGTGGAGACAGATGGAGAGCAGAAAGCTGCTGCAGCAGCCCATTCAAGGGTGATGTCAGACAGTATGGGGACAGCAGAAGCTTCTGTCCAAAACAGGGCTAAATATACCACTCCCCCTCGTTCTGGGTAGCCCCCACATAACCTGAGCTTTAGCACTGCTTCTACACAGTTGGGGCTCGTTCCATACCCTAAGAGCTGGTTGCAAAGACCATCACAGACATTGTCCATTAGCTCCTACTTTGGGATACACCCAAAGCCTTGTTTCGCCAAACTACTCACTGTGAAACGGCAGACCCTCCCTGGGTGTCACTTTACAATAAGCTTGTGTGACCAAAGGCTACCTCCATTATAAACATACCATCCTCGAATCTCAGGCAGCCTCTACCTCCCCGTCCGGTGCTGGACCACTTCCTTGCAGCCCTGAGAAACAGCTCTGCCTCACCACCTCCCATTAGAGGGAGTTTGCTCCCATAGGAAGTGGCTTATTTCTCTGTTGGACAGCTCTGGTGGTGAAAAAGTTATTTCTCAGGGAGACACAGATGTCTGTGAATCAGACACAGACGTTTGAAATGAAGCCAATCCTGCAATCTTTCTCTTTTTAAATGAGCTTGTCCATGCAGTAACCACACCTATAAATTAACGCTGGCTAGTAGATCCCAGCTCCACTGCATTAATATAGGGGAGCAGACATTATATACATGGAGAACTCAGCTAGGTCACAGCCATCAGATTCATCAGTCCTGTCATGAAAAACTAGTTAAAGTTTTTTGTGATCTCACAGTAAAAAGAAGTAGGCAGGGAGGTGGCCTGGGAGAAATTGCAGTGTGCTTGTAAATCTTGCTCTGGTCACCTAAGCATGTGAGTTACGTAAGCTTGCCTGAAAGGCGCTAAAAGGCCACACAGCTCATAACAACTGTGAAAAAGATTGTGTGAGATAGATGTTGAGGCCCTACCTCGAGTATTTGTTGATGATATCATGAATTAAGTAAACTTTAGTTTAGACAAAAGCAAGTTCTAGTTGGTGCTAGAAAAGTAAACACGGCCTGTTGTGAATTTATGAAAGTTAGGCAGTTTACGACACTCAGCCCGTGTGCTGTGCATGTTTGATTGAGCGTGAGTGAGTTAATGTGGCAAGACGTGGGAATTGGGGCAGGTTAGGGATTGTCCAGGAAGATTTTGCTTTCTGGAGCATCCATCTTACTCAGAAGACCTATCTAGCAATGATTTAGAAAGCAGACCCCAAAGGACACATCAGATGTAGTTTATATAGCTTATTTAGGTAAGATTCTAGACTATGGAGGAGATTCTGTATGAAAATATTTAAATCTTGGTATTTGAAGAAAGTAGATACTTTCCAGCACCTTGCATTATCACCCACCATAGAAACACACCTCGTTAATATTCATTGACTAACTAAATAAACAAATATTTGACCAGTTTTCATATTCTCTCCCCAAAGTGCCTGGCTTCCTTTTGAACCCTGTTATTTTTACTGACGGGAGAACTACCAGAGGGACAGGCCAAGAGAAGAGTATTTCCTCTGGGTCTCCAAACACTCTACTGTATAGATCAGCCTCTACATACACTGATTTGTCTTCCAGTCACTTCACATTCTGATTGGCCAGATGCTCTACTGCAGCACTGGGGAGTAACAAATGACTGTTTACAGCTTTACTTTTAAAACACCCTTCCTGTCGCTACTCACTTCACGATGCCTCAGAGTTGAATAAGGTTTCCATTGGCGGGCTCTCTGTGCCAGGCAGTATGGTCTCTGCCCTCCTGGAAGGCAGAAGCTCTTGCTGCAACCCTGCCTTCTGGATGCCATCCTCACCTTGGAGTTGGAGGGCTGCAGGTCAGCAGAGGTGGGTCTTCCCCACCAGGCACTGTCTGCCATTGGTGTTCATAGCAGCAAGACCAAGAGAATGCAGCCTGCAGGATATAGGTAGAGGAGAACCTTCCCCATCTGTTTCCATGCTTTACTCATCTTCTCCCTTGAAAGTAGATTCAGAAATATCAGGGCTTCTCTTTTTCTACACAGTTACAGAGAATCCTTGATAATAGAATCACATAACTGATATTTTCCCTTCCATACCAAACCTTCAAAGAAATCACCTCAAAAGCCTGGGCCTGTGTTCCAAGGATGTTGCTCGGAATATACTTAGTAATCTCTTTCGGGGTCTTTTTGGCAGCTAGGACATGTTCTTTTCCAAATGTTGCTGAAGTCACTGCCATCCCCTAAGTTTTTCTTTTTTGGAAACAGCAATCCCCTAAATTTATTTTTCAAAACCACCAGGATGGTGTCTGGAGAACCACATAGGTCATCCGTTTGAGATGTAAAATGCCATGTCTTCATACCCATTAATTTGTCATTTCTCTGGGTGTTTCCTTACTTGGGACACATGGTTTGAGCAGTAACAGTCACAATTCATTTAACTTAAATATGTCAGGCAGGAGTCAGCATAAGGAGCTGCATGCACAGATGACTTTGAAGGGCAATGCCATTTGCATGTGTGACAGTCACCATGTCCATTTTAAAGTTATGTTGCCTTTTCTTTATGCATCATAAGAGGAGGCTACTGTGAGAATTGGCGAACATGCAGAAACTGCCCTCGTACCGGGAATCCTAGAATCCAGAGGAACTGAGAGGTAGATGCCTTAGGGGACACCTGAGCAGCTCCTCCCCTGTGTCCACCCGTCTCAACACCAGTGCCCACAGGGGCCACATCTCTCTGTGAGGACAGATTACAGGGCTCTCATTCACCCTCCACCCCCCCACCTCCTGCTCTGAAAACAGAGGGGGGCATCCAGCTCTGTCACTCTCAGCAAAGGCCAGGTGGGCGCTTGGATCCTCGTTCTGTTTTGTGACTTCTAGCCTCTCTCTCCTTCCTGTCTGAGCCTTTCCTCAGAACCACACACGCATCCATTCATCATTTTCTATTTCCCATTTCATTCATTCTTCCTGTCTCCTTGTTTCTTTGTTTCCCCTTTTCTGTTTTTCTCCACTCCAGTAGTCAAAAGTTTTTTGGGGAGGGAGAGCAGGTGGAAAGCGAGAGGAAGAATTAACAAGTAGCCTCTTGTCTCCCTGGACCAGCAGTCCTGACCTCCCCCACAGCCACTGTCCTGGCATC